TACTCATAGTAACTTCATAACTTCATGTTCGTGTGCCTTTTCACGCGCAAAGGGTACCAGTTCGACCTCGTGACCTTATGAACTTCTTCTGCATATTTTTTTCTCGTGTATGCTTTGCGAACTCAGATAAACTCTTACTACGTACAATTACGCTGCCTCGAAACTCAGTTCCTCGCTAATACCTTCTTTTTTTTTTGCAACGCAGGTACCACCACAATGGTGACCCAAGCAGAACCCAGCGTAACGCCCCATGCTGAACCACTGTTCGCCGAGCCGATACAGAACATAACGGTGCCTGTTGGCCGAAAGGTGACCCTGTCTTGCGTCGTCGACAACCTCAACAACTACAGGGTGAGCTATCTCCTTCGTGGCGCGCTCGTCCCAACATTTCGAACGTACAGGTCAATTTGCGAATGGAAGGTCGAGAAGCAGGAACAAAGCTCTACACCATCCGCCTCAGCGAAACCGTGGCTATAGTGTATTCGGATGCTGACTCGAAAGCCGCTGGTTTGATCCCAGCTGCGTTGCTCACATTTCGATGGAGGTGAAGTGGCAGAGTCCCGTGTACTGTGCGATTTCAGGACACGTTAAAGAACAGGAAATGGTCGAAATCCGGAGCCCTCCACTATGCGTCCCTCATAATCTTATGGTGGTTTCCGGATGTAAAACCCCTTATATTATTTTATACTATGACGTTCTATAGAGAAGCCTATTTAAGACAAGCATCACGCTCAGTTTGTTGCGAGGATAACATTGAAATAACGCGCAGCCGTACAGTTAGAACTTCATAGGTTCGTCTCTGCGGTGTCTGACAGCCACGTTTTTATTTAAAAAATGTAGCGCTGTGCAATTTCAGTGTTGTGTAATGTTGAACGTAACAAAATTTGGTTTAACGCGCTTTGAAAAGGTTAGGATAATGACATAATGTCTTACTTATCCTTTTTTATTTTCTTATTAGAGAATGCACAAGATTGCAGCTACACGTCTTATTAATGTTCAATATCTCCTCATTTTGCAACGTAATTTGCTTTGAGCTTACTCCGACCATCTATTTCGCTAAACTTTACTGTATTAAGCTGAACCAGCAAAATAACGGTTCTGTTAAGCCACATACTAGGTGTACCTGAAGAATTGCTGTAATATTCCTTACGCTGAGCACAATCCTGACATTTAGCGTATACGCCACATATATTTCACGTGTTTTTGTTGCTAACCTCTCCAACAAGCCAAGCTGATTAAGCCAGCCAGAATTTTGTTGCTGCAAACCCACGCCCACTGAGATATCTGGATTTACAAACAACGCAAACAACGTACGGTTTTACGGCGTGATCGCTTTGAAGCAGCAAAGGAAAATTCTCAAGGAGAGCCACGGTGGCTGTTATGCGAGCCGAAGGAACCTCACATAAAAGTAAGACCTCTTTACCTTATCGAGAGGGCGCACTTGAATTAAGCACTCGGTGTTTTGCCGTGAGATTAGTGTGTTCGTTATATCTCCTACTGAGTGAACAATGAGGCAGAGGCTTACCATCTCGTACGAGCTTCCAACGACAATAGATGAACGCCATGCGTGCGCCACAGTACGCGCGACCACGAAACGCTCAACGCGCGATAAAAGCAGACCCGCTTCGCGCACCTAATTCAGCTGTCTATGGCAACATCATCGCCTGCTGACACCCTGACAGAGAAACGGAATGCGTCTTGTTTGCGCACACAACATACGCTAAGCGGCTTACCAGCGATCACAAAAGCTATGGCTTGCGAACGGAAGCTCCCATGCACGAAGCTCTGATCAGCATAAGCGGTGCGACGCGCGCGACTGAAAGCATTGCTTTTAAGCTCTTTATCAGCCTCGTGTGGATGACGTTAGAACCAGACTATAGCGTTGTCTTTCACATTCCACTGTCGTTTTCTTTTTAATCGGGTAAAAAATTTTAGTTAGCGTGACATTCGAGAGATAGTCGCTGCAGTCGTGTGTGCTCATTGCTGTCGGCACCCGTTTATGACGTGCGGGGCACAAATGAATGAAACCGTTGTATTCCAGAAGGAAACTTCTCCGACCGTGTGGGGAATATTACATCACCCCACGAATGCGCGAAGTTTCAGTGCAAACGAGAAAACTGCAGAGGTGAAAGAGACGTAGACGTGGGGTCACGATTAGTTGCTGTGCTTGACGTTTTCATTCCACGTTACGGTCAAAAAAAAAGCTCTTTCGCTCTGTTTTTTTCTTTTTGCTTATCTTTCCTCACTCGTTAACCTGTAGAAACCGAGCGAAAAATTCGGCAGATCTCACATACCTTGGTAATCATTCTTACGTGAAGCATGCGCCTGCAAGCTGACTGTGTTGTAATTTTTTATCGGGCAAAACGTTACGAAGTTGCGCTAAAGATATGTACATATTCACGCATTCACATACGTTAAACATACGCATATGTTTTATATTACCAGTTGATCATAGTTGCATGATGATGCCAACAGAATCATGGATATTAGCAACACCATGCATAAGCGATAAGTTGATATAACGCGCTGCTGCTCGCGAGGACAGCAGCCCTGGATACTGCTACATAAAGAAGCTTAAACGAATGACACCTGACTTCAATTGAAGTTTACCCGACGTTACGGCTGTATCGCAAGAGTACATATGTAATGCTTATGTCATTGAAAAGCCATCACTGCAGCCACTACGGACGTTTCACGAACATAGGGTCTGTTTAAAAAGTGGTTCCGAGACTTGGCGTGGCTCTGTGGTAGAATACTTGTTTGCCACGCAGAGTGTTCAGCTTCGATTTCTGCTAGGACCCTGACATTCAGCCTTTGCATTCATCGAGCCAATGTTACCAATGTTAGATTTCTTTTTAATGCTCACGCCTTAAAATTACCCATGTCTGTTCTCGCCGTTCATGGTTAAATACAAACTGTGATCCCCTGTAGCACATACTTGCATAGCTCAGGCACATACCCACCCGCGAGTATGCACCACACGTTTGGTGGATAGGGTTTGAGGACGTATGCTGCTACTTAAACTGAACACTGCTACTTAAATGAACTTCAGCGCATGACACCTAACTATCATTGACGTTAAGCCGACGTGACGGCTGTATCATATGTGTACATATGTAATGTTTATAAAATTGGATAGCCAGCACTGCAGACACAACTGCCGTTTCTCGAACATTAGGGTCTGTTTCAAAAGTAGTTTCGTGACCTGGTGTAGCTCTGTGATAGAATACTTGATTGCGACGCAAAATGCGGTGCTCTGATTTCTGCTGAGACCCTGACATTCAGTCTTTGCATTCATCGAGCCAACGCTACCAATGTTAGATTTCTTCTTAATGCTCACGCGTTAAAATTACCCATGGCTGTTCAGCACCGTTCACTGTCAATCACCTGTGGCACATACCCGTATACATGAGGCACATATCCGCCCGCTGGAATGTGCCCATGTCTGGTGGGAAGTGTTTGACGACGTACGCGACAGGATTGAGACATTATAGATGTCTTCACAAGCGTGTCATGTTCGTCAAACCTTCCTACCCTCCCACACTAATTTTCGTTGACGCCAGGCTAAGGGGGTGATTAGATAGATAGATAGATAGAGAGATAGATAGATAGATAGATAGATAGATAGATAGATAGATAGATAGATAGATAGATAGATAGATAGATAGATAGATAGATCCATTCATCCATCCACCATCCACGGATGGACGGATGGATGGATGGATGGATGGATGGATGGATGGATTGATGGATGGATGGATGGATGGATGGATGGATGGATGGATGGATGGATGGATGGATGGATGGATGGATGGATGGATGGATGGATGGATGGATGGATGGCTCGAAGTGCCTACAGTACGCTGGGAAATTCTTCGCATTTATTAAGTGCTGCCTGCCAAGCACTGAGTTTCAACTTTCAAAAACTTTGGAGGGACAAGTTATTTCACTGCAGTCAAGAACAACACAAACATTTTAAGAAATATTACGGCAGCTTTGCACTAACATGCCTGAAGGAAGGGCGGAGATAAGTGGGCTGCCTTGTTACTCTTGATTTTCTCGTCTTTCTCTCTACGCTTGTTTCTTGTATCTATTTCTCTTTTATCCGTGTCTTTATATGAATTGCTTTCTCACTCATTTGATATTTATTTATTCCTCTCATCCCGTTATTTTTCTAAACTTGTTTCGCTCTTCATTTCTCTATGACTGTCTATCTCTATTTTTTGTGAGTATTTTCTTTCCTCCTCCATATTTTTCTCTTCCCCTTTCTTTCTATCGCTTTCTATCAATTTCTTCGTTTCTTTCTTTCTGTGTGTATGTTTTTTGTGTTGTCTTTCTTTTCATACCTCAATGTATTTATTTCCTTTATTTTTATCTCCATTCAAGTTCCTCTTTCTTTCTGCTGCTTTATTTCTCTGTTTTTTTCCTCCTTTTCCGACCTCTTTCTGCTTATGAAGCATCACCATGTGCGGAAACACTCCCTTTTTTTATTTCCAGCCTGGTAATAGATTATTGAACAAGGCATCAAGTGGGCTAGTGGCGCTTGTATTACTATTGTAATACTTGTATAGAACGAAACACAAAATATAGATAGAAAGTAGCGCTTGTGTGACTATTCAAGGGCCGTCACTTCAGCTAGCTGCCTTACGTGATAATCCTGAAGTCAGGTAGTTCATGACATATATAGGATGAGTGTAGAAAAGCGTGTTCTGTCAAAAGGCATCTACCCGCGATTGACGGCGACCTCGGTAGCCCACGTGCACTCCACGACGCCGGTTTGGTGCTGGACGCTGCAAGATTCCACCATCTAGTCAAAACTCTGTAACGGCTGCATTTAAAGACAATCAGATCGGCCGTTGCAGCCTTGTGGGCCAAGCATAATGCCGAGCTCCTT